CAGAAATATGCTGGAACAATTGAACATCCATAGGCAATAAAAATAAACTGTGATCTAAATCTCACATATTATATGAAAAAACCTCAAAATGGATCATAGGTTTAAGTGCAAAAGGTAAAACTATAAAGCTGTTAGAAGAAAACATGAAATCTTTTGGAACTAGGATTTAGTAAAGAGTTCTTAGACATGACTCCAACAGCTTGACCCATAAAAGGAAAAAGTGATAAACTGAACTTCATCAAAATGTAAAATTTTTGCTCTATGAAAATCCTTGTTAAGAGGATGAAAAGATAAGCTACACACTGAGAGAAGATACATACAAACCTCCTGTCTGACAGAGGACTCGTATCTAAAATATACAGAGAACTTTCAAATCACAACATTAAAACAATAAACAATACAATTAGACAATAGCCAAAAACAAAAAAAACCACGAAGACATACTTCACCAAAGAAGATGCATGGATGGCAAATAGGCACATGAACACATTGCTCAACACACCTGCCTGTTAGGAAATGCAAATTAAGACCTCGATGCAACATTCTCGTACACTCAAAGTATAAAATAGTGACAATACCGAATGCTGGTGAGGATTCTGAGCAACTGGATTGCTGGAGGGAAGGTAAAATGGCACAGCCACTCTGGAAAGTAGTTTGGCAGTTTCTCAGGCAGCTCAACATTCAACTATCATAAGACTCAACAGTTGCACTCCTGGGTAATCGCATTGATGCAGGAGAAATGAACATTGATGTCCACCCAAAAACCTATACGCAAGTGTTCTTAGTGGCTTTATTTGTAACAGCCTAATATTGGAACCACCTGGATATCCTTCACTGGATGAATGGTTAAACAAACGGGTACTTGTATTGCACGGAATACCAGTAAGCAATAAAAAGGAATGAAGTGAAAAATACAAGCAGCAACTTGGCTGGATCTCAAGGACATTTGGCCGACTGAAAATAAAGCCAACCTCAACAGTTTACATACTGGTTGCTGTGGTGGTTACACAGATCTCTGCGGGGGATAAGATGACAGAGAACCATTTACACACCTTGTACCAAGGGCAGTTTCCTGGCTGTGATGGCACACTGCTGTGGTCTAAGATGGAATCACCGGGAGAGACTGGGTGAAGGGGACACAGGACCTCTCTGTACTAGTGTCGCAACACCCTAGACGTGAGTTATTTCAAATAAAAGGATTTTTAATGCCCTAGAGGGGAAGGTAGGATAGACAACCTTTGATGGACTA